GGTAATAAAAAAAAAATTCTAAACTTTTCACAGCAAGTTCATGATTAAATAAATGAATTAATGGTCCATGGTCTTACAGGGTATCGTCCACGTGTCGTGGTTTAGGCATCCTGTAACCCTGAATCAGTAAATCTGCCATTTTTCTTCCGTCAATCTTTGGATATGGAGAGCCACCAAAGACGAGAAGTTAAACACGAAGACAGCGAATCGATCAAAAAGTGCGCCATCTATATAAATTACACTGAAACACAATTATCTGACATACCTATCGTGAAGATTTCGTAAAGCACAATTCCAAAACTCCATCTAATTAAAGAAAATGCCATCAAGCTTCATTGCAAGTTGACACGTACAAGTATAATTAAATTATAGGTTGAACATGAATAGATTTGAACGGTTTTTTTTTAACTCTTTAAAACTGTTTATCTGCTTATTAGATCCACTTACACATCACTTTTCGTCGTATATCGTCCGTATAACAGCGCTTCGCAAGCTGTCCATTTTACTGGCAGTCTTCCCTATCGAAACATGGAAAGGAAATGTTGAAGAAAAAGAGCAGATGATTCTTCCCTTTGTTTATCTGGCGATGATGTAGTGTAAAACATTACTGAGAAACAAGGTGAGAGGAGGTTGAGATAGGATATATCTATCCTAATAAACTACGGTATTAGCCAAACACGCAACATATCATGATAACGAAATCAGAAACCTTTGATTTCTTTTCGTAGATGTTTTCCTGGCATACGTCCCTTGCCATTCCAAAATCGGTTACCTTACATCGTTCTTGCTCTCCAACCAAGACGTTCCGGGCTGCAAGGTCGCGGTGAATAATCTGTCGTACATAATACAGAGCATTAATGAATAATTAATTGATTCAATAACTCATTTTGCACTGCTCAAAAGCGTCGGATGGAAAAACTTTGTTCTTTGCAACGAAACAAAAGTGATACATGTAATGGACGCTTTTAATCATTGCAAACAGAAAGCTCTATTATCCTATTAAGCTCCATCCAACCATATTGGAAAGATTTCCCTTGTTTAAATATCAAACAAGTTCCAACTTGAGTCACTTGTATCCAAGTTTACTTCATGGACAAAAAATTGTGGATGGAAATTGAAATGAAAAAGGTATCCCTTGCAGCTATTGCCGCCGAGACAGCAAAGTGAATTTTGATACTAAAATCGACTTACATTTTTTGAGGACAAATAATGCATTCCATCAGCCACTTGCCTGGAAAACTTCATTAGCTGCTGGGAAGTTAAACTCGTCTGTGGCTTAATATCCGGGTCCTTGAAGTAGTTATCTTCTAAATGTCGGCTCTTTCTCAAAAAGCCCAGGAGATCTCCATACGGGACATATTTGATAAGTACAAGCAAAGGATCTAAAAAATATATGTAGAAAACAACAGAGAACATCAGCTACGTTATCACTTTGAAGTGATAATTACAGCAATGGGAAAACGAAAAACTTTGCAGTTGTGCTAAGTGCATTCTAAATTTAACCCAGGATCTGCGGTAAACTGGATAAATAATCTTAAATCGAGTGAACCGGAACTCGTAACGATAAAACAAAATAATTATTTATCGTGCACAATTGCTACAAATGCTCTTTGCTGATACTGTTAAGATCAACAATGACAGGATTAGGTATAATGAGAGAGCAAGAAATTATGAATTCAGAGCAATTTTGGCTTTAAGTTGTCAGGGTGACACAAAGAGACGTAAACTAGGCAGTTTCATTCTATTTTCTGCACCTGATTCAGTTACACAACCCTGCAACTTGATAACGTGTGGATGAGGCTTGAGTTTCTTCAGGACTTCAAGCTCTGACAGCAAATCTTTCCTCTCTAAGTCTGTAGCGTTACCTAAAGAAAAGAACGACTATTCAGTAACAGTAAAGCCTTATCTTAACTAAAACGCTCTTTAGGCAATGAATAGAGTACCTTTCAGCATTTTTATGGCAACTGTAATTGTCTCCTTTCTTCCTCGAAGGTTTGAAGCTTTTCCCTGGGCGACTTGACCAAAGGCACCTTTTCCAATAATCTTTTCAAATGTTACATTTTCTCTTTCCACTTCCCATGAGCGCGTTCCTGGGAGCAGGGGTGCATATTCGTTTATTTCTAAATAACTTCGCTCTGGGTCCGTGGCAGGATCATTCAGTGGTCTAACTTCATTCAGGTCCATGTAATTTCCGGGAGCATGATGCACCACGGTGCTAAGGTTCCCATTGCTACTTTCCAGTTCTTTTGTTACTTCCTATGTAACACCATTTCTATACAACTGATTCACGGTATTCAAGTCCCAAGGGCCTTGAAAAAATTGAAGGTATGCATGCTTTGCTTTAACTTTCAGCATTTAATTGCCAAACAGATATTTGTTGATCATCACAAAGTAGATTATTCGATAAAAATGCACCCCATACTTACAACGTGACGCGTACGTGATTCCTTAAGGACTGTATTAGGTCTAAAAGAAAATCAAAACTAATAGTTTCTAGGAAACAGACTAAACCTCACCAACAAAATCCCTTTCTTGTTTTTTTTTTTTGTTTTTTTTTTGTTTTTTTTGGAAATATCAACTGACACATTTTGAGAACAACTGAGAAACTTTTCTCAGAACTACAAATACGAACAATACCAATCTGATCTACAGATGCTATATTAACTTTTTATTGTAATGACATCTTACCGATTATCTTTTTCCCCTAAGAAGTGTGGAAAGAAGGAAAGAGATGACATTAGATAAAGAGAAAAAAGCTGCTTAAATTATTTTAAAATTCAAAAAGTCCTCATCAATTAAGTGTCATGTATTTCCAGCTCCTTCTCTTGAAAGTACTTCCAATAATAATAATATTATTTATCTTATCCTCAGAGGGCACGGTAAGGAATCCGGCAATGTGATTGGTTCTTTGCGCATTCCGTATTTTCCTATCTCTACCCACGGGCAACGGTAATGCTCTCGTGAGTCGCTGAGTTCATTCTTACCTTCGTTGCCATTTTTCATAAATCTATTTTGTTTTACCGGCCGGGCAGTATTTTTAAGCAAAGACGTTGGTCACTACCTCAAGCCGATAATTAATTCATTAATCCTCTCTTTTCTCTCCCTCAAATCGCTTTGGCTGACAGAAAGCTATTGGTTTCGAAATTAACTTGTATAAGCTAAAGAGTCATTAAACTGGTTGACAAGCGGCCTAAAGCCCGTCTGTAATTAATTTCAACCCCCCACAAAAAGTACTAGAAAGTTAAAACGTGAGGAATTTGGTTACAATTGAATTAATCGATGGAACCTTCATTCATTTAATATCTGAATTCTCTCAAACAATCTGTTCGAAGTAAAAGGGCGTGCGAAGTTTTCAGTTCTACAACAAATACGCGCTCTCGGTGAGTCTTTTCAAGTCCGTTCAATTTGGACATTTGTACCGTAAATTGCACAACAGAAAGTGAAGGAATTCAATGAGAAAAAGCCGCATTGAGTCTCCTTGTGTCTTGTTTAAGTGTTTAATTCGAATTTAGTTTTTGTGGTGGAAAGACCAGGGCCCAGTTGTTCGAAGGCCGATTAGCGCTAACCCAGGGTTAAATTTTAATCTGCGTTTCTTTATTCGTTTACTCAAAAGCCTTTTTGGGAAAATTTTCAGTGTCCTTTTTAAAGCATCAAGTAGTCATACTCTAAACAAAAAGAATTCGACTGAATTTTCTTGTAAAGCTTTTAGATCTGAAATCGGATTTCACACTAACCCTGGGTTATCTTAACCCAGCTTTGAACAACCCGGCCCAGATTTACACACGCTATTGAAGTAAACAAACGAACAAACTCTCACAATTTCCAAATAAAAAACTTGAATTCACTTACAATTACTTTCCTCACCGTTTACTTGATTAACAGAGGTAAATCTTCGTACATGAATGAATCGTCGAAGAGAGTGAATAATACTTTCCGTAAGATCATTGACTGTTTTTGAAGAAATCATTGTGGTGACAGTCCTTGCCAAACTACTTTGGTTGTTTTTTCAAAACTGTATATGCCCTTTTTTTTTTTCTTGCGCGCTCTCTAAATGACAGGTGTCAGATTGAGACAGATAGTTGTAAAAATAACGTTTCAAAGTTTGTTGGGAGGCCTTTTAAATCACCTTTATCATTACACAAATGAAAATGTTTCGGTGAAGCGTCTCTCTTTAATTTGCATCGCCTCTATTTTAACTACCATCTACTCGCTCAAGAATTGTTCAGTTTATGGAGGATCCTGCTGTAATTACAGCCCTAAATCATTCGGGTTCTTTTGGAGAGAATTTTCCTTCAGTTTAAGGGAAAAAAATTAAAATGTTATTCAGCAGCCTAGATCTGTCCGTATTGGGAAAAAACTTTGCCCAAGGTCTTGAGTAACGCCGTCAATTGGTGTCATGAATTGAAAGACTTTGCGAAATGACTCTAGTATGCTGCAAGTTCTCCGACTCCTTGCTGTTTCCTCTTTCCTTCCCCCTTCTCAGTTTCCATTCTATTCTTCAAATGAATCTCCCTTTGTCAATCGTCCACAAATCGTAAATCTAGGTTAGTAGCATCTCGAATAAGAGCATTTACCAACTGAATATAGTAATTCACTCTACTTACGTTTGCGGCGTTTCCAGGCATTCAAAATAATAGCAACAGCGAACATAAAGGCAAGGACCCCAATAACTGAGCCATAAATAGCATCTTTATTCACCTTTGCTGGTTCAGATGGGACTGGACCAGGAACAGAAACTAAATCTTAAATAGATGACATACATTTTACAGAAGCAATGCTTTTCTTAACTGTTTAGTTGAATTAATAAGAGTTAAACTGATTTAAACACAGCTATGCACATTTATCGGCAACCCATAACAGGTAAAGAACTCATAAAATGTAGCTGAAGTTTGCTTTGGCCTTGTGATCAAATAATGTTTTCGGTGCACACCCACTGTGCAAGAACATTACAAAGGTGTTTTTCACACGAGCTTAAAGTTAAAAGCGTAACTTCCGTGAGTTTCCATCACATTGGTAATCCATCTTAAGTACAAATTCGCAGGTCACAGACCCAATTTTCATTAGGAGCAATCCAAATTACCGTTATTGAAAGTTTATGCACACCTGAAATAGTTGATCCTACGGAAAAGGTATCTACTTTTAGGGTACCTAGGCTTCCACCCTCAATTGTATCTAGAAACAATGATTCTACTTCATTTTCTCCAACAGGCTCGTCAAAAGTGAGCGATATGTCTGCGATAACACTTCCCTCTCTGTAAAAAGATAAAAAAAAAGTAAATCCAAAAATTTCTTCAACTTAAATGTTTTGAAGAGTATCTCAACCAGAAAAATAGAAAATTTTAAAATCAAAGTACAATAAGTAGCTTTTGTCATCGATGAATGATGATACCTCAGCTGCGTTACATTGATTTCTCTGACGCCAGAACCTTTGAATTCTTCATCCACCTAAAAAGCAACGACATCCAAATCATAAGTCAGTATGGTAGAGAAAGGAGAGTGGGGATAAGCTCATAATTATACGAAAGGACATAAGGATGTTTTGCCCTGTTTTATTACAATTTAGTCATAGGAAAATGTTTTACACTCTGTACGTAAAAGACTCCTCACTTAATGATACCTTGCTCTCTACACGCACTTCAACAGAAAACGAGGAAGGCTTTTCTCTAAAGAGCAAAGGAGGACTAACATAACTTTCTTCCTTCTGTTTTACTGCAGTATTTAAAAGAGAAAATCCTAACAAATTAGGATACTGCGCCTATGATTATACTGTTGGATAGAAAATATCTGATTCTTAATGATTTTTTATTTAATTAAGTAATGAGCACCTTCTCAAAAATATAACAACACCAATGACTTACCGAACGTATTATTATTTCAACAAACAGTTGTGTATCTAGGTCAGAAAAGTCTGTAAGTTCCTCTGTCCACTATTTATTGTTAATTTTAAGGCTGATCATGGTAACAATTGCCACTGAGTCTATTGTAGCAAAATGAAACGGAAGTACAACCTTCATTATCCTGAAGATATAGCTTGCAACATATTAACATTCATTACCTAATATCAAGCAAAGCAGCAAAATTGTAACGAAAACAAAAGTGGCTCCCACATGCCACACTGATAATTCGGTTTCTGGTATTTCGTTTCAGTAAAATCCTGACCTATCGGGTAATAGTAAGGAAGTAACGAGCTCACATTCCTGGATTTTTGGGGCATTCTCATAGTTCTCCTCCTCCTTTTCATCCTCAAGATTTAATTTATTGACGTCTCGTTAACCAACGGGTCAAAAATATTCGTCTTTCTTTGTTCAACTTACCATTTTCTTTGCAATCTTTTCCTTTTTTCCCCTTGGGACAGAGGCAAAAGTGCTTTACAAATTCTCTGCAGGTTTGTCCATTGGTACATTCCACAACACAAGGGTTTCCTACACGCATAAAAGGCAAAAGACATTATTGGATGAATGAAAGTTCCGCTAGTGTTTTAAACGAGAGAGACAAAAACTTCCTCCCAAAACTTTTCAAATCATATATTTTTACCGGTGGATAAATATTGTCTATTTGATAATGTTTTCATCTTGAATTTTTTTTCTGAGAAAAGCGTTTCAAGGTTCAAGATCCTAGACTTAAAAGCTGAGTTGTGTTTTTTTGAAATAATATTTGCAACCGTATTCTTTGAAGAGATATATTTTGGCGATATCAATTCACCGTCTGCAACAACGAGGTCAGGAGAGGGAATTCTTGTAACTGCGCTGAGCATTTTTTTCTCATAGAAAATTTTGTTATTCATCGTTGCTTTATAGATTTAAAGGTGTAATCGTTTGCCTCACGATGCTAGGTAAGGTTAAAGAAGCCATCCACAACAGAGTTCATCCTAATAACAACAATGGCGATAACGAAATCGAAATTCCTGAAGCATGGATGCTTATGATCGCAAAGCACAACCGCCGATCTGTTACAAAGGGAACCTATGAGGGAACAACATCTAATAGCCAGAATAATTATGAGTATCGAAATGAACCAATAAAAGCGCGCCACAGCATGACAGTAACAACAAACTAAGGTGTGATCGCATAACTTCATCCACGGTCTCGAAAAGCCGAAGTTGTTACACACGGGAACTTGTACGTCAACGAACACAAGACATTTGACTTTAAAATCTCCTCTCCTGTTATAGTTTCCTTATTGTGAATTGTGCGATAATGATAATAAACAACCACATTGTAGACTAATAAATGTTCTGTTCCGGA